CCCGCTGCTGCTCCCCGGCGGAGGCAAGAGGTGGTTGGGGGGGACCATGGCTGACGTTTTCCCGGCCAACGACTCCACGGCGTCTCAGGACGTGGCCAACCGCTTCGCCCGCAAAGGGGCGCTGAGGCAGAAGAACGTGCACGAGGTGAAGGACCACAAATTCATCGCCCGCTTCTTCAAGCAGCCCACCTTCTGCAGCCACTGCACCGACTTCATCTGGTAGGTGCGCGGGCCGGCGCGCGGCACTGGGGACCCGTTCTTCCCTCGTCCGAGGTCCGGTCGCCCCGGGCACCAGCGCTCGGGGCCCCCAAGTCCTGGCGCGTCCGCTCCCGACTGACTCACTCGGAGAACTTGGAAAGCGGGATGGAGTCCGAACTCTCGCCCGGGATGACACGCGCGCTCGGCCGCCCCGGCCACCGGCGCACACGCGGGCAGGGCTCCCGGGAAATCGGCGCCCCGCCACACACCCCCTGCTGCGCGACGGGGACACAGTCCTTCCTCGGGGTCGGGGTCCCTCACCGGCCGCACCCTGTGTCGCGGAGACCGCGGAGCAGCCGTTGGCCAGGGTGTGGGCACAGGGAGGGAGAGAAGGGAGAGCCTGGAAGGACAGAGTTGGCCCGAGAGGAACCGCGAGCGGCGGCAACTGCGGTCCACGTTGGCCCGAGTCCGGCCCGCGCGTACGGGGGGGTGTGTGCGCTTCCACGGGGCTTGGACTCCACTGGAATCTTGGGTCCTTGCCTACTGTAGCCCGTGTCCTGGGCACCGAGAGATTTTGACTTTCTGGGCGAGCGCAGAGGGAGAGGCTGCAAACTGTTGAACGCTGGCCGTGGGGGAGGGGGAGTTCCACGGAGCAGGCAAATGGCAGAAGGGCAGAGGGAGTCATTTAAAATAGACCCTGTCAACACGAGATTAGACCTGTAACCCTGTCCGTGAGGACAGAGGCCTTATTTAAGAAAAATACTGTAATGGCTGAAGGTGTCGGAGTGCAGGTAATTTCCAGTGAACGCAGTGTTCATCTCCCAATGGGGGGAGGCCCTGGGGGACTTGGAGGGAGTTAATCTATGAAAGCGACTGGGGGGGTGTCTCTGAGCCCTGTAAAATTATGTGAAATTGTTAGTCCATTTTTTTTAACCTGGTGAGACTATCATAGCTTTCATATTCTCAAAAGGTTGGTGACACACCCCTACCCCCCAAAAAAGTTTGGGAAGCTGGAACTGAAGGAACTCCTTTCTGAGTGGCTGCAAGTTGGGAGTGCTCAGCACGCTTCTCTCTTCTTGCCTGTGAGTGTAGAAAGTTTCTCGAAAGCCGAGCAGTGCTAGCTCTTCAGCTCCCTTCCCTTCCAGGTCCTGGAGCAGCACCCAGTGCAGGTGACACAGAGCACCCTGCCCAGCCAGCTGTGTAGCATATGTGTCTTGGGGCATTAGCGTGAGCACAGTATGGGTGACTGTGAGTTCATCGCACTTGGGGAAACGCATCGCCAAGGGCAAGTCCCACGCATGTGCTGCTAATAAGGTGCTTAATTTTTCCTTTACCCTTTTGGAAATCCACTCAAAGGTATGTTTTTTATGAAAAGCACAGCCACCCCTGTGAGTGAGTTCCTCCATGTAGTTCGTGTATGAAGCACTTTTCTAAGGCGTAGGTCACCCCAGGTGGGGCTGGTTAGTTTCTAGAGCATTAAGGCAAAGGGAGGACATGGCATTTGATTGAGGAGAGGTCTTCAGACTCCCTGGCAGCCACGGGATTCTGTTAAAAGGCGACAGCTGCTTGCTTTTGTGGGCAGTAGGTAACTAGAAAAGGGGCCATCAGCGTACTCCGGCTTGCCTGTGTCTTTCCCCTATCAGTTGCCCTGAAGGATCAGCTCGCTGTGAACTAAGGAGGCCCTTGGGTCACCAGGTGTGTTGTGAAGTGGAAAATGAAAGTCTCCCTCCTTCCCCGGAGTAATTGTAATCCTGGTAGCACTTCACTTAATCCTCCAGCAACAATTTAGAAATTCTAGGAAAACATCCCTCAGGATTGTAATTTAAAATTACTCATTTTCTTTCATTGTTGCTTATCTCTGAGTTCGTAATTTACAAGCTTCATTTGAATATTAAAGCACTGATATTTTAAAGCTATATGTTTGACTTTGGAGAGGTGGTTTATAAAAGCATGTGAGGTACTTTGTAAATTTAAAATGCTATGTGATGCAAGAGGTTATAACTAAACACCTTTTGAGAAAATTTCAATGCAGTTCATCCTAGTGGAACATTATTTGCAATTGAATGTCTATCTCAAGGTTCTCTAACAGTGAATTTTCTAAAGTCATTTAGGAGAACAAAGTAGCTTCTATATACTTTGCATGCTATTGGTTCTCAATAAAAATTAGATTGTGATAATCTCAAATGCAAACAATAAGAATGTTCTGTGAAATCAGATTGCTTAAGCCAAAATTAAATGTTAAAGGTGGTGCTGCTTGATAGTTTCTAGACATACAATGTTTGCTTAGAGTTATTTTATTATTTTTTAATTTGACCAGGGAGAGACAGAGAGGGAAAGTGAGCAAGTAATCCACCAGGTCCAGGACTTGGCCATGTTCAGTGTCCTAACCACCAAGCCACCTGCTGGCCCTGAGACACATAATGTTTTAAAGTCATTACAACTCAGTCATGTTTTCAATTGGTCTTTAGGAACAAAATTAAGCCACCTTTTTTATTTTTTTTTAAACCATCAACTCCATCTTGATACTTGAATTTTATAGCCAATGGTTTGAATATACAATCATGTTCTTGTCTCAAAATATACATGTGAATAACATATGAAAAACTGGCAAGAAGCTTAATATAATGAAATAATTCAGTGAGGGGCAAGATAGACTTTTCAAAGTTGAATCTACACTCTAATCTGATTAGGCTATTTTTCTTATCAAATCATTGTGGTTGTTTTTTTTTTTTTTCTTTATTTAACTTTATTTATCCATCTAAATTTGACCAGAGAGGGACAGAGCAAAAGAGAAAGCAAGGTGCCAGGTCCGGGACTTGAACCATGGTGGGCCATGTGGGAGTCCAGCGCCCTTAACCACCTTGCCACCTGCCTGCCCAAATCATTGGGTTTTATGTACAGATCTTTAACTCCGTAGACTACTTTGTCACATAAGTTGCTTAAAATATTAGGTATGCAACACAAAGCACCTTAAAATTTTCTCTCCTTTTTGTTTTTCAGGGGGTTTGGGAAACAAGGCTTCCAGTGCCAAGGTAAGGTGCCATGTTGGATTTTATTTTCAAGAACAATATGAAATAAGTTCCAAATGGAACAGTATTTCCAGTAGTCTCTCCTTGGTGAACCAGAAAAATGTTATTTAGATGATATTTTCAAAATATGAGGGTAAGTTTGAGTATCAAAACGAGATCATACGGTATTGTCTACTAATCTGCCTTTTTTTAATTGGAGAAAGAAAAAAAACTTCCTGTAATTTTATTTTTTTGCCAAGAACATTCTTGTCAGAAACTGCTGTCTTTGTGTGGGTGTTGAGAAAAAAAGATGGAATCACTTTGTATTCATGTGGATTTTTTTTCCCTTGCTCCTCCTCTTCGTGTTCTTTCTCTTTTACCCATCCATTGAGTTGGACATGTTGCAGCTATTTTTAAGCCGTATGTCATTCTAGTAAGGCTTTCTGTTGTGTTTAGGTTGCTGATTGTCATCCAGCGTGAAGTTTGCATGTTTTATAGTTACATAGATGGCTCTGCTGGTATTGTAGTGCTGACACACCTTGCCTCAGGCTAAATATTGGACGTCTATGATACAATCTACTGTATCCAAAGAGATAAAATGATCTGTAGTTGGATTTCATATACCCAGATCAGTACCTTTTTACACTTGGTTCTAGTTTAACTTGAAGTTAATTTATGAAGGCATTGTGGGTTCTAGGCTCATAGGCTCGCAAGCTTGCTTTCTGGCTCTCCTGTTCATTGTCTGTATGATGTTTGTTTAGTTCTGGCCACATTTCCCATATGGGCATAGGTTTATTATTAGGGCCAGTGGAAAGTACATTCTAGCCTAGAAATAATACCCCAACACCATTTAATATGAAGTGCATCGGAGAGAGGACCACCTCTTTTACAACTTTGAAACTGTGATAGTTTCTTTTTTTTTTTTTTTAAGAATTATTTATTATTCATTCATTTAGTTTATTTCGCCCAGACACACACACACACACACACACACACACACAGAGCAAGCCACCAGGTCTGGGACTCAAACCATGGTCAGCCAGGTGGGAGTGACCAGTGCCTTAACCACCATGTCACCTGCTGGTCCCCAGAAAATGTGATAGTTACCTTTTAAAAACTTCTTATTTGTGAAGTTGTCTCTTAAGTATATTTTCTAAACATTTTCAATGGAGCTATTTTGTGATCTGATTATTTAATACTCTACCTCTTTTGCTTCAAGATGTGGTTAAACCCCTTTTTGAATATATCCTTTTGAGAACTACATTTCAACTACATTTCCCTTTATTCAAGAGAATAAAGAGAAAAGTGTCTCTGTAAAAGATAAAAAGATGATGTAGCTCTTTCTGCTTCTCAACACTGTAGTCCTAATCTTTATAGGTGAGATTTAGGTCTAGTTTTGAATGCTTTTAGACAGTTTAAAGACGTAAGATTCTGGGGTGAATGTGATTCTTGCCTGCTATTTCCATAGATGCTTTTAGTTTGGGTGGGGACTGATAGGAACTTATGAGAAAATATTTGATTTTCTCAAACATATTACTTGTCTAGGAGAAAGTGGGTGAGTTATTTAAGAACTATTTTCTCCATAGAAATAATTGAGAACAGCTTTGGTCCCTCTCAGACCTACTCACCTGAGCAGGGTTTTACTGGTGAAATCTTAGGAGTGGTCATATCAAGCTACAAGGGGCTCTGTGTGGTTTGTCCTAGAGAGCATTTATTGAATTGTTAGTGGATTAACAGATTAATCATCTCACATCTGCATCATTTTTTATTTAGATGATAAAAATACAAAAATCTTGAACTATATAACAAAAAGTAAAGTTGTATACCTCTGTCCCTATACTGAGGAGTAACTTACCCATTTACTCACATATGCTTAGTTTGTTTTTGTTTTTGTTTTAGAATGATTTTATTCAGTTTTATTTCTTTTAATTTGACCAGAGAAGTGGAGGGAGAGAAAGCAAGTTGCCAGGTCTAGGGCTCAATCCATGGTCAGTCATGTGGGAGTCCAATGCCCTTAACCACCATGTAACCTGTCGGCCCCCATATACTTAGTTTTTGACAGGGATCAGGAGGTTAGTAATTTCTGCACCTTGCATTTTTCACTGAACAATATCCGGTGGATATACTGCTATATCCGTACATCAGTTCTCTTTTATTCTAGTTAGTGATTACATGTGTGGATGTATTTATCCTATCCACTCATTCCTCTTCTGATGGGTATTTTGTTACCAAGTTCCCACTGGTACAAATACTGCTGTTAACATTCTGGGGCACCAGTATGATCATTTCTAGAATAGATACCTAAGAGTGTGTGTACATTTTCAGTTGTAGTGACTTGCTCTCCAGAAGGTTTCTAGTTTATATTTTGAGTGTTAATATGAGAATGCCTCTTTCTCTTCAGGCTTCCCAATGAAGATTTTGGAGAATGTCAATCTTACATTTTTGCCAATCTGGTTGGTGATGAAGGGCCTGTCTTTATTTCCATCTCTTGGGTCATTGGTGAGAATGAACATTTTTTTCAAATGGTTTTAGCCATTTGTATTAATTGCAGAAATTCTCTTACTTTAGAACCAGCAGATGATGTAACAGCTGTGTCACTGAACTCCCACATGGTTGGCAGTTTTGGGTCCTAGACCTGGTGGCTTGAAACTCACACTGGGCGTGTGTGTGTGTGTGTGTGTGTGTGTGCGTGCATGTGCGTGTGCATGTTCAAGATCCTGGGAAGAGAATGGAGGAGGGATTGCAGTGTGGTCATTACCCCTGGGGGAATGATTTCTTACACTCTCTCTCTGTCTGTCTCTCTTAAGGCAACCTTAAAAATAATTGCTTTATTTTACTTACTATTTGGAATTCAGGATTTACAAACTAGATACATTAAAGAAGTAATTATGTGCCTTATACACAGTTCTTTGCTTGGGTTAAGAATTTAGCCTCAGATCTCTTAAAATAATGAATTCCCTGGTGCATTTAAAAATCTTAATTCACAGAAACCTTTCAAGGCGGAACTTGTGACACGCTTGTCTGCCTGTTACATTTGGTTTCGTGTGTGTCATCTGTGTTTGACTTCTTTTGGCATATGCTCATCCAGTGTATTTTATTTGTCGTAACTTAATTAAGAAAGCTATGTTAGCTTAGGACAGTGCTTTTAATCCGACAAAGATAGCAACCCAGCATTTCCTATTTTGGCGTTCTCCTCAAAATTAATCTTTCTCGTAACATCTGGCCATTTTAGAATACTTAAGTTTTCTCCTAATGTTCTCGAACTCGTTTTCCCCTCTTGGTTCTGCCTGATAGCATCATCGTTGTTCAGAAGAGTAACTGGTTCTCGTCCATGCATCTGACAGTGTACCCCTGGAAACAGGAGTTGGAATCGGAGACGTTTTCTCGTGTTCCCTGTTCAGCAGAGTTTCCTCACTTGATGAGGCAGCAGGCTGCCTTGATTGTATGTAGTGTGTTGCTGTGGCCAGTAGATAAAATGGTTTAAAAAACCAACTCTGTTTTCTCCATGAGAGACAGAAACTTCAGACAAGCTTCCCATACCATGATTCACCCCCAGGCTCAACCAGCCTGGACCATGTACCCAGACTGCTCACAAAGAGCCTGGGCATGGACCCGAGACCCTCTCACATGCACCCAGCCACACCGCCATTGTGCCACCACCAGGGCCCATGGATAATGTATCTGTAGCATGTTATTCTATTTTTCCTATTGCCAGAGGGTGTGGCACTCTCTAGAGAGAGATGGAGAGAGAGAAAGCTGCACCTCCCACCCCTCCACCCCCCACCAATGGGGCATGATTATGCTGCATTCCCATTTCTCCATCCTGTTGGGATTTGAGGCATGCACGTGCACACTCAGTGTATTTTTTTAAGCCACAGGGTCAGGATTGAAACCACTGTCAGCCACTGGGGAATCCCGCTCCCTCAACCACTGGAAGGCTGGCCCCTCTTTGCTCTGTAAGCTGTACATATCTTCTGGAAGATGATCCTATTCAAGTAGTGAGTAATGTAGCTCGTTACATTATGAAATTATGTCATTCTACTTAGTAAATGATTGGTAATAATTGGAAGACTGAAGAAATAAATGAATTTTAGTCCTTAAAATAGGGTTTGTGGGGCTAGCAGTGGCATAGTGGGTAAGGCACTGGATTTCTACGTGAGTCCCAGACCTGGCAGCTTGATAAATCACACTGTGCCTACAATCCCAGGAGACTGGATGAGAAGGGATTACAGCATGGCCATCTCGGGGGTTGGGAGTGTGATTTCTCACTTTCCCTCTATCTCTGGTATGTGCACCCTATGGCAAAAACCTTTTAAAAGAGTGGGGGGTTGTCATCTATGCCATTTAGAAAGTATATTTTACATATAAAGCATTAAAACTTTTTGCCACTTCTTCATTTCCCTAAGATACAGCATAAGTAGAAGTAGGAAGTTTTTCTGGAGATTTATTGGGTTTTCCTTTTTTCCCTTTAAGGAGGTCTATGCTATTGTCTATCTTTCTTTTCTTTATTTATTAAATAATTATTTTTTTAATTTGACCAGAGACAAAGGGAGAAAGCAAGCTTCCAGGTCTGGGGCTTGAATTGCAGTCGGCCATGTGGGAGTCCAGCGCCTTAACCACCATGCCACCTGCTGGCCCCAGCTCTATGCTGTTCTTATTTTTACTGCAGCGTAGAAGTACGATCCTAAAAACCAGTATCACAAGCAACACGGTAAGAGATCTCTGTTGCGAGAATTTGTAGCTGTCTAAAATAATAAACCCAAAGGCTTTAAGGACCAGGGTGAAGAGTGTGTGGTAGACCTAGTGGCCAGTTGATATTTTTCTTGAGGTCTTTAGAGTCAGAGAAACTTGTCCCTTTGTATCTCTGAAGTGACCCTTGTTACATGACTGATTTGTCTTTGGGCTTTTGAGATTTGGCTTAACGTTCTAGGCTTTTCTTTTGATTTATGTCTGTGAGACTTACAGAGCCGGTCCTAACCCACTTCTTTCCCCAGAGAGATGAGAAGAACAGGAAGTAGACTTGT